CCCCCACCATCCCTCCCCTATTTTCTCCCCAACTGACCCCAGTGTGTAGTGCTCCCCTCCCTGTGTCCATGTGTTCTCATTGTTCGACACCCGCCTATGAGTGAGAACATGCGGGAAACACCTCTTTTTAAAAGCATCAGATCTCGTGAGACTTATTCACTATCATGAGAACAGCAAGGAAAGGACCTGCTGCCACAATTCAGTTACCTCCCATCAGGTGCCTCCCACAACACACAGGAATTCAAGATGAGATTTGGGTGGGGACACAGCCAAATCATATCATTCTGCCCTTGGCCCCTTCCAAATCTCATGTCCTCACATTTCAAAACCAATCGTGCCTTCCCAACAGTCTCCCAAAGTCATAACTCATTTCAGTATTAACTCAAAAGTCCACAGTCCAACATCTCATCTGAGACAGAGCAAGTCCCTTACACCTATAAGCATGTGAAATAAAAAGCAAGCTCGTTACTTCCTAGATACAATAAGGTATAGGAATTGGGTAAATACAGCCATTCCAAATAAGAGAAATTGGCCAAAACAAAAGGGCTACAGGCCCCATGCAAGTTCGATATTCTATGGGGCAGTCAAATGTTAAATCTCTAAAATGGCCAGGCGCAGTGGCTCACACTGGTAATCTGAGCACTTTGGGAGGCTGAGGAGGGCGGATCATGAGGTCAGGAGTTCGAGACCAGTCTGACCAAGATAGTGAGACCCCATATCTACTAAAAATACAAACAATTAACCGGGTGTGGTGACTCATGCCTGGAATCCCAGCTACTCAGCAGGCTGAAGCAGGAGAATCACTTGAACCCAGAAGGCAGAAGTTGCAATGAGCAGAGATTGTGCCATTGCACTCCAGCCAGGGTGACAGTGTGAGACTCTGTCTCAAAATAAAAACAAACAAACAAACAAATAAATAAATAAATAAATAAAATGATCTCCTTTGACTCCATGTCTTGCATCTGGGTCATGCTGATGCAAGGGATGGGTTTCCATGGTCTTGGGTAGCTCCACCCCTGTGGCTTTGCAGGGTACAGCCTCCCTCCTGGCTGCCTTCATGGGCTGGCATTATCTGTGGCTTTTCCAAAAGCCAGTTCAAGCTTTCAGTGGATCTACCATTCTAGGGTCTGGAGGACAGTGGCCTTCTTCTCACAGCTCCAGTAGGCAGTGCCACAGTAGGGACTCTGTGAGCACTCTGAGCCGACATTTCCTTTCCGCACTGCCCTAGCAGAGGTTCTCCATGAGGGCCCACCCCTACAGCAAACTTCTGCCTAGGCATCCAGGCATTTCATACATCTTCTGATATCTAGGCAGAAGTTCCCAAACTCCAGTTCTTGACTTCCATGCACTGGCAGGCTCAACATCATGTGGCTGTAATGGCTGGGACACAGAGTACCAAGTCCCTGAGTTGCATACAGCACAAGGACCCTGGGCCTGGCCCATGAAACTTTTTTCTTCTGGGCCTCTGGGTTTGTGATGGGAGGGGCTGCTGTGAAGATCTCTGACATGCCCTGGAGTCATTTTCCCCATTGCCTTGGGGATTAAATTTGGCTCCTTATTAGTTATGCAAATTTCTGTAGCCGGCTTGAATTTCTCCTCAGAAAATGGGATTTTCTTTTCTATAGCATTGTCAGGCTTCAAATTTTCCAAACTTTTATCCTCTGTTTCCCTTATAAAACTGAATGCCCTTAACAGCACCCAAGTCACATCTTCAATACTTTGCTGCTTAGAAATTTCTTCTACCAGATACCCTAAATCATCTCTTTCAAATTTGAAGTTCCACAAATCTCTAGGACAGGGGTAAAATGCCACCAGTCTCTTTGCTAAAACATAACAAGAGTTACCATTGCTCCAGTTCCAAACAAGTTCCTCATCTCTATCTGAGACTACCTCAGCCTGGATTTCATTGTCATTATCATTGTCAGCATTTTGGTCAAAGCCATTCAACAAGTCTCTAGAAAGTTCCAAACTTTCCCACATTTTCCTGTCTTCTTCTGAGCCCTCCAAACTGTTCCAACCTCTTCCTGTTACCCAGTTCCAAAGTCACTTTCAGATTTTCAGGTATCTTTTCAGCAGCACCCCACTCTACTGGTACCAACTTACTGTATCAATATGTTCTCAGGCTGCTGATAAAGGTATATACCTGAGACTGGGCAATTTACAAAAGAAAGAGGTTTTATGGACTTACAATTTCATGTGGATG